TCAATGAGTCCAAGATACCCTAACAAGGAAGCATTTTTTAAAAAACTAAGTTCACTGGAGGAAAGGTTTGTTGGTTTGCTTTAACTGCAAGTGATACTGTGCAGTATCCATACTTATAACTAGCTTCATCATCGGTACCAGGTTTCTATTGCTTTTCTGGATCTGTTGTCTGTCTTGACTGGCTTCTGGTTATCAACAGCCCAAAATTTTTCTCAACTCATTACAAATCCCTAACTTATTTGTTTGAAGGAACAAAGCATGCTGAGCTATTTCTTTTGTTTTCCTTCAAGGCCTAAATGATGTTTTATTCTCTGTATTTTCCATAACATAGCCATGCACTCAAACATTTTTGCAGAATAGCTGGGAGCATCCATTCCCACCTGTCACACATATCCTTGTTTTTCAGATTCTTCCTCTGCTACATTACTACTTATATAGCTGTTACACCAATAACTTGTGTAAAGCAAGCGCACACAAACACACAATTTGGATGTTTCACACCAAAGATGCAATATTTTGCCAGGAAATGGTTTAAACCTAAAACTCAAGGAGAAAATTGAAGGTTGTGGGTAAGTCGAAATGGAACAGAACCCCTGTGAATCTATGTGGGAGCTTTGGAAGTTTGTGTACTATGCACCACACACAATTGGCAGCTCCAAATCATTCAGCATCAGAAACTAAACAGTTAAAGCATCTCACAAAAGTTAGATCTATTTGGACCACCTCACCTGCCCTGAAAGCAAAAAACAGACAGACTCTACCCAAATCTCCATTCTTCATAGGAAAAACACGAGGTCTATTTGCTCCCTCTATTGACCAGAGCCACTACTGACCAAAAAGGGAATAAAAGAATGTCAATGTGCAAAGGAATAATATTTTCTAGAACCCAAAAGCATTCACTATTCATGCTTACATCCACGTAATATCAGAAGAAAACAAAACACGGCGCATTAAGGGATTCACAGAATAAATTTACATATTTTTCAGAAAAACATTAACAAACTAACAAATCCAATATCTTTCTTCTTTTTCAACCTCCTTCTTTTTTCTTCTGTCTTCTACACATGCACACACACACCTCATTCTCACATAAAGTTGATAAACTAAATAAACCAGGATGCCAAGGAATGTGAATCTCACCTTCCAAGTTAAAATACTTCAAAGGTGCACAACATCACTAATTCTAAAAAAAAAAAAATCTTCTGCAAATAGCAAAGATACCTTCCACTTTACCTCCTCATATTCACATACAAAGCCATAACATTGCCATAGCTGGCATCCCAAGCAACAGCAGAGGATGGGAAAGTATTCATATCCCATTCTGTAGGAGGCTATCTACGAAGTGCAAGAAGCTAAGTTCCAATTCTCTAGACAAGTGCTCTACTCCCTTTACCTAACCTACCTAACCACATTTATATTCCTTTTTCCATGTCCTTAGACCTGACAACTTTCAAAGGTAACCAGGCATATGGATGAAAAAGTCACCCTCAGGACAATTAGTGGCAGAACACCAGCTAACATTCACATAGGTCTTGGTTTGAGCCCCACCACCCAAAAAAAGCCTGAATCAATTCAGCACCAAGCCTAGATAGCTCAGCATCTAATTTACATAAAAAATAATATAAGGCTTGCTTTGGAAGGAGAAGTACTAAAAAGCATACAAAAGAACAAGTGGTCATAGCTATCTTTTTGATGCCTGCTTGGCGGTTGAATCCTTTGAGTGATGTTGGTTCCCTAGCTAAATTGTGAACTCTCTGAGGGCAGAAGTTTCTTTCCTCTTACACTTATTTGGAATCTCCAAGCTACCTACTACACAGCGGGGACACTGTGCCTTACAAAAACACTTAGTGATTTTATGAAATGGTGATCCATTTCTATGTTGGTGGAGTAGAAGCAGCAAGGGGCAAGCACAGTAGTTCTGAGTCTACTTACTTGTCTAACTACTATGTCAAATGAGCCCTATTACCATAGAAATAATAAAGGGAGTGTATGTCATAAAAGGTAACACAGCAGAAGAATCTAATATAAAGTCACCTTTGGTCCCAATCTGAAGAGTAAGAATGTCACATATGCTTAGGAGATGAACATCGTCCAGAATTGAAATTGTATTGTTTATCTGTTTCTCTTAAGCTGCCTAAAGGCAAAGATCAAGTGTTTTATCTTTGCATCACTAGCAAACAGCAGATACAGTATTTGACAAAGTCAAACCATACAATAAAGCTAGTTGGTTGAGTTAATGAACAAACAAAAATGGTTTCATGAAATAATATAAAAGATAATTTTAGTGTCATGACTTAAGAATCATCTACTTGTTACATTATAGCACTTATCACTCAGTACTATAATTGCTTAATAAGTGAATTGTTTCTTGAATGGATTAGTCAATTAATGAGGAAAGTGTAAAGGTAGGACATATATCAGAACATTATTATTCTAGGAATCTTACTGCACAATATAGCAGCATTTAATATCCCATATTGCAAACTACCTTTTTGCATGTTGACCTTGTTATAATGTGAATTCATTGCATTCATTGTTGGTTTGGTTTGGTTTGGTCTGGTCTCTGGAACTACAGACCCTATAAGGAACCTTACAAGGAACATGCACTCAACAAATATCAGTTGAATAAATGCACCAATCATTCCTGTTCTTCCTGTCAATGTTGAGTGGCTTCTTGTTTGAAAGAAAGGACGTGTCATTTTTCCCTATTCAAAGCTTCATGGTGGATACAGGTTAAATATCTTGGTGGATGCTTGGCTATGAGCCCTCCAGGTCTATGTACTGGAAATGCACATGTAACCTCAGTCTAACCCCACATACCAGATCTGTTCAATTTTTTTGGACAAAGAATAGCTGGCTTTGAGGGTCAGGGAAAGCAACAGAACTGAGACTTTAGCTTTCTAAAATTGTTTTATCTGATCCTTAGGAGAAACTCAAAAAGGACACCACGATACTAAGCGAACCAGAAATCGTAGTTACTATCTCCTGCTTCTTCCACATATTCAATAGACATCATGGCTCCCTTTTCTCAGGAACTTGAATTGATTATAAAATAATCACTAAATCTTCAGGATTCAATACTTCTTTGTCCATTTCCCTGAGCAATAGCAAACCAGCAATGGGATATCAATAGTAGTATTTTTTATCTTCATTGTTCAATGATCACTATGAATCAATGGTCTGGTTACACCACCTTGTAGGTATTAATTACACAGAGCCAGCCTAAATTCCTCTTTGGTTATAAGAGCCTGGAAAGACAGATGCAAGTGAATAGCCTGTTGCCAATGGTGAATCTCCAATTTTCAAGTAAAAAATTCTACCTTTTTACAGACACCCATTAACCACAGACACTCTTTACAATTCATAACGCTTTATTTTTCCTTGGAAAAACTTTCAATAATAGATGTACTGACTTTTTTTTTAGCTAAGGAAACAAAGACTCAGTGAGGTTGCATGGTAAAGGGTGACTCCTGGACTCAAAATCTTGGTCTCTTTGATTCCACTACAAACCCTTACCCCTCAGTCTCTGTGACTGAACTATTAGTGGTCCACAGTGTCTCCCCAAGCAGTGTATGACTGAGGCCCTAGCAGTATTAAGGGTCATTAAATCATTAATACTTAGAAGTAAGTTCACATGAAGTAATACTAGACTTTCAATAACTCGTTGTTTATGGAATTAGGTACTTTAAATGCTGGTGCTTTTCTTGACAGTGGATTATTATGAGTTTCTCATTAAAAATACTGCTTTTCCATGCTATTAATTCTGGTAGGAACCATTTTTCAGGAACTAGGAGACACAATGTAGCAATGCAAATGGTCCTAAGCACCCTTTGCCATACAAAACTAATACAAACACTAAGTCCATTTTATGTTCATACCATTGCCTAGGTATGTCAGTGTGAATCGTTCCTAAAGGCAGAAAGTACCACTCAAACACCAAGAAGTACAGAGCAAGGTGTTCTACTCCTCCTTTCTGTGTGATCTTTTCTTGGAGGCTGAACAAGTTCCTCAGTACCTCTGAACCTTTGTTTCATCTTCCACCAAAGAGAAATCTATCAAGATATCTGATTGCGAGTTCTTAATGAGATGGTGCTTGTACTGGTACACAGGAAAACTGTTGGGATGCACTTGAAATCTATGAAATCGCTTTTGTAATGACCAGAAGGAGAGCATGGCTCCCAGTGTATCAAATTTCTACCCAATTCACAGAAAATGAAACCAACTTAAGGACTTGTTTTTAGCCTTCTACTCAGCTCCCCCTCTTTCTGGCCCTTATACTATCACTGGCTATCACCCTGCTCTACCAAAAGAGTTCAACAACCAACAAATACTTGGCCTTATTGTGTTTTTTTTAAAATTCCTCCATGAAATCACCCAAACTGAAGAGAAACAATTGATTTAAATTCATGACTACTTCACACAATTGTTCATATTAGTGACAATTTCAACATCCTCAACTGTCAAACGATATGACCAGAACTGCTAAAAAACGGCAATGTGACTTTTTAAATTTAATTGCTCGTATCCTTTTAGCCATAGACTCAGCAAGATGGTACAGAACAGTAGTATGAGAAGAGAAAAAGCAAACGTGGGAGTGGCTTTAGGACTCTGAACCAACAGAGGAAATTGGAGTTGAAGCATTATAGGGTTTCAGTCATTTTCAACACTGCTTGGCAAGCCGAAGCTGCTTTAGTCTCTAAGCTGGTGCCACTGGCTTTTGAGCATGCATACTTGCAACAGGTGGAGCAATATTTTACCATGCTGGGACATTATGAAGGCATGTAAAGGTTCAGATCATTTGAGTTTAGATTCCCAACCCCACCCCTTACACAAAAGCCCTCTATGTTAAATCACTTTTGTCCCAAAAGGCACTATTACCAAATACTGCATATGGAAATAGGCGCAGACAAGGAATATGCCTCCAGAATGGCCCATGGTAGGGCAAGCAGCCTCAAAAGGAGATCTGGGAAGACCTCACAAGAGCTCTTAGCTGCACTCACCTCAGGCAGGGGCACACCATTGATGATCAGATCTGGCTGCTGGGGCCCCTGGCTGTTGAAGGAGTGGTGGTAGATGTGGCTAGCAGTAGTGTTTCGGGTATTCTGGTTCTCCACATTCAGGAAAGTGCTCTCAGAGCGAAGGCAGCCCAGGGGCAGTGTCTGCTGGTGGTAGTCGAAATAGTTGAGGGACGAAGTAAGGGAGGAGCAACTGACAACATTCATCTTGTCTGTTTCCTCCACATCCCGAGGTACAAGGCGGATGTCATTCTTACTAATTTTTTTCTTCTTACTTGATTTCTTTTGATGCCCATAGGAGTATTCAGCGATTCTATGTGACAGAAAAGGCAGCAGGAATAGATAACACCTTCTCAGACCATATACTGATGAATAAACATTAAGCACCCCAGAGGGTTGCACCCCATCTCTGTTCCAGCTCCTTATTCTGGCGCATTACATCATTGAGTTTCTCCCTGTGCTTTTTGCATGCAAAAACAAGCTGAGGGCCACGAAGTCTTCATAGTAAATATGCTAACCTCCCACCAACCCTCCCAAAGAAATTTCCAAATTTTAGATTTGGAATTTTTTATTGTGAGTGGCCAGTGAGCAGGGGTGGGGGAATATGTGGAAAGTTGAGCCTATGGGAGAGAGCATGAAAATGCTGCAATCTGAAGCTTCCAAGGAACCCAGAGGCCATATTGGGCAAAGTAAAAAGTAAGTGCCAATTTAACATAAAAGGAGATAGAGGGAAGTAAGAAAAGCCCTTGCCCCTTGCCACCGCCTCTAGGAATTTGCAGTGTGGCAAACATCGTGGATCAGCTTCCTCTACGATTAAACTGATCACTTTTAGACTAGGGTAGAGGTTCAGACCCTGTCCTCCAACAGCTCCTAGCTCTGCTCATCCACACCCTCCTCCCTGCCTTAGCCCAGCTCCCTTCTACTTTCCTCCCTTCCCCCTCCGCTCCTAGAGAAATCTGATAGCCAAGCCCATTTGAATGAGGGGTAAAGCCTTTTTACCTCTTTCCCCTTAGGCTCACTTTCTCCTCTGCCTTTTTGTCTTGCTGCTCGCTAATGGGAGAAACCGAGACGCAATGCAGACACTTGCTGTTTGTCCTTTTATAAAACAGCCGAGGAGACAAGTGATGGTTAAACAATTACTGCAAAGGAATTTAAAGGTTAGTGCATTCAGCATCCTTCTCCATTCAGGTGTACCTACAAGCAGCTGTGCTGCAACTGGAACATAAAAAGCTCAATTTAATTAACACTGACACAGACCCAGGAACGTGCACCAAAGACACCAAGCATTAAGAGACTTGTCAAAAGAAACACATTAAAATGAAGTCAGAATCTCAATGTCATGTATTACTTTGCACATAATAAATTCAGCTTATTAAGAATTCAATCTCTAAGCAATAATCAGCAAAACAACAAGGTTAATAAATAATACAGGTTGGACTTTACATGAGAAAGAGTGTGTCTGTATTCTCACGCAACAAAGCTAATTGTCAGAAAAAAAAAAGAACCCAATTCAAGCAGCAATTGCAGATCATCCCACAAGTCCCATAAATGAATGCATTTCAGGAAGAGATCCTACAGGAGCAAAGAACTAGAAACCCCTGCCTAACCACATACATAGAAAGACAGGCTCCTGAACTTTAGGATTCTAAGAAGTCTGAGCAGATGGGGAGTTTGCATATCTACCCATGTCCACCAAGGCAAATTATTGCTCCGTCCCTGCGACCTACCTAGAGCTAAGCAATTTATTTCACCTCACCCTTTTGCTCTTTGCCCAGTCTGACTTAAAATGATGGCAAATTGATGATACAGAGGCTGAGGAACAGATAAAATCCCCCAAACCTCAGGATCAGGGTTACATTTCTTTTCTAATCTCTTTACTGAATCAATGGGAAGTTCTAATCATTTTGTTTACCCATGATGGGTAAGTTTGGCAATGCCCCATCCAATTATTCAGCTGAGTCATTCATTGCACAGCCCATTCTGTATTGACCAATTATTTAATTAAACTGTACTTCATTAATTGCAAGCCATAGCAGTGAAGAGTGCTTTACAAAATCCACATTTGGGTGAAGTTGGAGAGCACTGAGATTTGCACTTTTTCCCCCAATTCAAATGCTCTCGTCCCTGTGTAATGATCTCCCTGGCAAGCTCTCAGGAAGAGCTCTTACTTCTAGTCATATATCACCAAGAAGTGGCAAACCCTTCAATATCTTTATTTCAAGCTGATTTCCTTTTCATCATGGGAAGAGTCTTGTGCATTTACTTTATGCTGAGAAAATGGCTTAAAAAGAGTCCCCTCTATCATTATCTCCATATAAATAAAATTTTATTGACCCTGCATTTTTTATCTCCTATAAAAATCACCATTGGCAGTCACAGGTTTCAAAGGTAAGAGCAATATTAATTTCCATTTCTCCCATCTGAAGTGACTTGGTACTGAAGGAAAGAAAAGTCACGGCCATTTCACCAGTAACAGGATTAAAGCATTTATGAGGCATTGCAGCTGCTCTTTTATGGCACCTGATTGATATTCATGTGTGGTTAGCATTTGTCTACTAACTTGTGTAATGCAGAGAATAGTAAAAGGGAAACAATAATTGCATGGCTGTTACATATTCAGGGAGCTCTGATTCACAGAAGTGTGTATTTCAGATGGTGTCAGATACAAATCGGACCTACAGGAACATATTTTGACTGATTAACATGCAAGCACAGATGGCACAAAATACAGAAGCTGTGGAGGTGTGCTGCAAACACACACAAGCACACACACCTTGGCTGGAAATAGCAGCACCATTCACTTTCAGCAAAGTAAAGAAAATAAAAATAACTTTTTCAACTGTTTCCATGAGACACTGCTGGAAAGAATTATATGCATTATCCTAAGTAGGATTCTAGAAATTCTTAGACTTATTTCTTCTATCAAATTGCAAGAAATCTTCAACAAGAAACTCTAATGTGTTAACCAAGACTTTTAATAATATTACATTACATGCCATTCAAGTTTCTACAGATCTCCCCTCTCTTCCTTCTCCTCTCCTCTAGTTTCCCCACCCCCATACACATCCTACACACACTTCAGAGAAACTGTAACATAATAGCCCATAGTGACATCCACTGGTAGCGACCAGATCTTAATACCACAGCACAGCCCCACATTAGAGAAAAACATAGCCAACTCCAGAAGACTGCTATTTTTACAGAAACATCTGGATACAGTCTTGTCTCTTATTGGGATGTTTGGTCTTCACACACCAACCAAGCAGATATTTGAAAACATACAGATGCCTGACAGAATTTCACTTGTATAGCCAGATGTCTAGGGACTAAATACAAAACAAGCCAAGAATACTCTAAAAACCACTAATGACCTGCTTCCCCACACACTGCTTTCTCTCTTCCTCCTACTCTCTTTTTCCCATCATAAACTCTCACTCCCCAGCTCTCTCTTGAGGATAACCCCACAGCAGGACAAGGCAGTTGTCAGTACTCCATCTCCCTTCAGCTCTTGTCTACAAAACACTGTGCTCCAGGAAAACCAAGCCCTCAAATCATGATACATAGAACTTTTGCTAAAAATATGAAAATCTGTCTCTCTTTAGCTCTTCCTCCCTCTCCTCCCTCCCTCCTCTCTCACTCTCGGATTCTCCCTCCCTCCACCTCTCTCATTTTTTCTACCTTAACTTCATGGAAGACAGCTGTGCAAATTTTAAAATGATAATTGCTTTTCTGCTCATCATCATTATGTGACAGAACCCATTCAAACAGTAAATGATTGTCTTCCAGCAAATTGTCAGATCAAAAGAATTGATCAACGTGGACTGTCACAAACTTTTCACCCTCCACAATGAATCACTGCGAGTATGCTGCATGCATTTAAGCAGGAAACAAAAGACACAAATACACACACCTTACTCATTCAAAACACAGAAGAAAACAAAAGAAAAGTTGGCTCTACCTGCAGTTGTAGGTCCGGATCTCTTTGTTTTCACGCTTGCACTTGATTGCCACGAATATCATAGTGACAAAGAGGATGCCAGCGATGGAGCCCAGAGCAATAATGAAAATCAGGGATAAGTTCACAGAGCCCATTGACTCTTGGGCATCAAGAGCCGGGGACAGGTAGATTAGGATAAGGGCAGAGGCAGAAAGAGACGTTTTGCCATGGTCACGGGCCACCACTATCAGCTCATAGGAAGGCTTGGAGTTTTCATTAAAGGTGTGAGTGGTTCTGACTTCTCCATTGGCCTGGTCTATTTCGAAGAAACCGCGGTCACCTTCTGTCATGTCATAGGTGACTCGGCCATTTTCACCCTCATCATAATCATCTGCCTTAACTATAGTCACCAAGTAGCCTATGCCGGCGTTTCGAGGAATATAGATCTCAGCAGTGCCATTGATCAGGGGTGGGGCGGTGATTACTGGGGTATTGTCATTGACGTCGAGGATGATGACCCTCACTGTGGCGTTGCTCTGCAGCGAGGGCAAGCCGCCATCCTTGGCCACCACCTTGAATTCGAATGCCTTGGTCTGTTCATGGTTGAAGGATCGTAGCGCATAGATATCACCAGAGTTGGGATTGATGGAGACATAGGTGAAGACGGGCATGTCTCGCACCTGTGATGGCACAATTTGGTAGGAGACACTGCCATTGAGACCCACATCGGGGTCGCGGGCAGAGACAGAGAGCAGATAGGCGCCAGGAGTGTTGTTCTCCTGTACAATCACTTGATAGTAAGGCTTGGAGAAGTGTGGGTGGTTGTCATTCTCATCAGTGATGCGCACAGTAAAGGACTTGGCACTTTGCAGCGTAGGCACGCCGCTGTCTCGAGCCTGGATTGTAAGATTGTACTGGTCGTGCTGCTCGCGATCCAGCCGTCCATCAACAAGGATAGTGGAGAAGCTTTCATACTCCTGCAGACGAAAGGGTACATTGCCCAGCAAGCGGCACTGCACACGTCCATTGAGACCTGAGTCGCGAACAGACACCCGAACCAGGGCAATCACGTAGCCCGGGGGGGGGGGGGGGGGGGCGCTCTCGCTCACCTCCACAAGCTCGCTATTGACCGACAGTAGGTTGATAATTGGCGGGTTATCGTTAGTGTCCAGTATGCTGACGGTGACTTTGCAATGTGCGGGGATAGAATTGGGCCCCAGGTCCTTGGCTTGCACATCTAGCTCGTACACTTGGCCCTCTTCATAGTCTAGCGCTCCGGTGACAGTGACTAGGCCGCTGTGTGGGTCAATTTGGAAAAGTTCACGTGTGTGGTCATTGGCATAGCCGTAGAAGGAGTAGATCACCTGGCCATTGGTGCCCTCATCTGGATCGCTGGCATTTAGGCGGATGACAGGTGTATTGGGAGGTGAGTTTTCAGGCACACTCACTGAGTAGGAGGACTCTCCAAACACTGGGTTGTTGTCATTAGAGTCAGTCACCTTGATGCTGAGGCCAGCTGTGCCCATGCGGGGTGGGTCGCCTCCGTCGAGTGCCGTGATGCGAAAGTTGTAATGTGACTGTGTCTCGCGGTCCAGGTTCTTCTCCACCACGAGTTCAGCAAAGCGCGAACCGTCACCCCGCGTCTTTATCTCCAGGCCAAAGAGCTCGTTGGGAGTGAGCTCATAGGTCTGCACACCAAAGCTGCCCGAGTCCGGATCATAAGCGCTGTCCAGTGGGATGCGCGTGCCGGGACTGGCTGCCTCAGAGATCTCCAGATCAATCTGTGCGGTCGGGAAACTGGGAGCATTGTCGTTCAGGTCCTTGATCTCCACCTTAATCACACAGATCTCCATTGAGCTGGACATGACCTCTAGCGAGATAAAGCACTTGGGGTTCTGGCGGCACAGCAGGTCTCGGTCGATCTTCTGCTTGGTGACCAACAGACCTGAGCTGGGGTTGATGTCCACCAGGTGCGGAGCTGAGTTGGACACCACACGGAACGTAGAAGCTTGCCGCGGATCCATCGCGAAGCCTGCCTCCCGCGCGTCCTTGGCCACGTTAGCGATCACCGTCCCGGCGCGCTGCTCCTCTTCTACTGAGTATTTAAGGTTAATCAGGGCGGCCGCCTGCGTCCACAGGACTGCCAGCAGTAGTAGCATCGGCAGGAAGAGGGACTCCATGGCTGCACGGGGCTCTGCCGGGCCTCGCCTCTCCACACCCCTCCGAGGCCGTCGCCGCCTGCGCTCCAGCTTCCCGCCGGCTCCGGGGGAGGAGTCCCGCCCAGGGCAGCCCGGCGGCGCACAGGATGAACCCGTGCGGGCTCCAATGCTGAGGTCGTAGTGGACTCGGCAGCGGCTTTCTGGGGGCCCGGGGGCTCCGAGGGGCCAAGAGAGCGCCGCACGGCCCCGAGCCCCCTCCCTCCAGCCCGGCTACTCAGTTTTACCCCTTCAAAGTTAGCCGAACGCGACTGGCCGCAGCGGAGCAGGGCTGCGGGTCGAGTGGCGCTTGCAAGCCCCAGACGGCCACAAGCTTCAGAGTTGGGACCGTACTTGGAGGGCGGACGCCTAAGGCTGTTGGAGCGCAGCCTTTCAGGCACTGCCCGACCAGCCGTTGCGCACCAGCACTGGGGCAGGCGAGCGCGTAGTCTATGCACCTGGCATGCGCAAGGACCTCCCCCCAGCGCGCCCAGCTCACTGCGGAGGGAGCTCCCGCCCTGTACGCGCCCTCCGGACTTGTGGGGGGGGCACTCTGGCCTCTTCCAGGCCTGTTGGAAAGAAAAGGGCGGGGGGGAGGATCGTAGGTAGAAGTCTGAGTTGCTGGCAAGCTCCTTGGGCGCCTGGGGATTTGCCTGAGCTGGAGGGCTGTCCCGGAGCGGGCAAAGGAAGGGGGAAGGGAGAGATGCGAGAGAGTGCTCTCTCTAGGGCTGAGGTTGGCGTCCGAGGGCGTGGGGGGCGCGTCCGCCCAGGATCCGAGGTGGCCACAGGGCTCCTCCCACAGAGCGGTTGATGGGCTATGGGCGTTTATATCTCGGAAATCAAAGTTACCAACGCAGCCCAGGCCTCCGCCTCAAGTTTATGAAAATGGGAAGATGGCAATTTGTCCAAGAAAATCAAAGTCCTGCTCTTTCCAATTGCCCTGGGGGGAGGGTACGGGAATGGGAAGGTGAGGAAGAGAAGCTACTACAGTACCGGCTAGAAGAGGCGGGGCTGCAGCTGCGGACACCCGGGGCTTCTTCGCCTCTCCAGGTTTGGGTTGGGGTGTCGCACCAAGGACCGCCGCCGCCGCTGCCTCCTCCGCTGCTGCTGCTGCTGCTGCTGCCGCCGCCGCCGCCAAAGGAAGCCCTCCTTAGTTCAGTTGCATGTCGCTGGGGTCCGCCTCTGCAGCTGCCAGGGTCGACGGTTTCTGACGCCTCCAAACTTTACTTGCGGGAGCGTCTGGATCCCATCCTCCAGGAGAAGCACTGTCCGTCTGTCCGCCCCGCTTAGGGCTTCCGCCCTCCCCGGCGCTCGCGCGCTAGGGAGGTCTGTCTATCTGAGCTGGGCTGTGCGTGGATGTGCCAAAAGGAGGAAGAGTGAGTGTGTGGATGGGAAGTGTGAGTGTGGAGTAGGAGAGAGCAGGAAGAAATGGGAGTGGGGTGGGAGGTTGGATCTCAGATGAATCGGCTCAGCTGGAATGCCACCGGAGAGGACAGCGCACCGCCCGCCGGCAAGGGGCTAGGGAAGTGGATGCCAGCGTCCCCCGGGCAAGCCAGGCATGGTGAACGGTAGCTGGTGCTGCCATCTGCGCCGGCTCGTCCGTCTCCCCTCTGAGCCAGTCGCCGCCGCTACTGCTGCTGTTGCTGCTCCTCCTCCTGCTGCCGCAAACTACTGGCTGCGGAGTCTGGAGAGAGCTAGAGAGAGCCCAAGCTGCCAAACCCGGCTACGCCAGGCACTAGCCAATCAGCGCGCAGCTCAGCGGGCTCCGGTCTTGGGGCGGGACCAAGGCGTGGGGAGGGGCGGAGGAGGGGGAGGGGAGGCGGGGCCAAGCGGAAACTTACACACTGGCCCAACCGAGTAGAGTACCCTGCCCCGCAGAGCCCTTGCGGGAGTCGGGGGAGGCCTGACTGGCGCGGGACAAGCGGAGTTAGGAAGGGAGGGTGGACCGGACATGAGGAGTGCTCCCATTGAAGCTGAGTCCACCTAAGTACTGAGCGCCTCTTGCATCTCTTGTTTGCAGAGATTACAGGAAAAAAATGAGGATTTGATTTTCTTGCTGTTTATCTCCCTCATGTATCGTATCTTCATATCTTAAATGCAACATTCTCTTCCCCCTGTCTCTCTTTCTCTCTCCTTTGTCTCACCATTCTGCATTTCTGTTTCTGTTTTCTCTTATTCTCGGGTAGTGGGGGGAAAAAAGAGGAGCAAGCGCCCCCGCGATGGTCATTCATCAAGCTCTTGGCCAGTGTGTCTTCACTTTTGCCAAGAGCAAGGCCGCCATCCACCCAAACCATTATCCCTCACTGGGAAGATGCCGCACTCCCCAGAACACCTCAACACACACACACACACACACACACACACACACACACACACACACACGGGAGGGGGTGACGGAGGGGGGGATGTTGGTCCGGTCCGGCTCACTCAGGTCTCTACTTAATCAAATGGGATCGGTGACTCAAAAAATGAGTCTCCAAGGTTTCAGAGTACATTTTCTCGCCCCTCACCCAACCCTATCGGATAATTTAGCTCCCTATAAATAAACTACGTTTGAGAAATCCAGCGGAGCGGACGCGGCCGCGCTGCTCCGCACCGCGCCAGTAGAGCCTGGATCCGGATAGAAGCTGTGGAGTGGGAGCGCCAGCCGAGGTCCCTGGCAACTGTGAGCCCGCCCTGGTGCAGTGGGCGCTCAGCTTTCCCCTGGGGCCTGGTCTCTCTGGGGCAGGGGGGGGGGGGGGGTTGGCTACCAGTTCCCTTTGGGCAGCAATGGCAGCTGTGGCGTCTGCCAATGCTGGGAAACGGGAGGCCGGCGTGGACAGGGTTGACATCAAGCTTAGGCTGCTTCTGAACCAAAGGCACACTAGAGACAGAGGGGGACTCCTTCCTGCCCAAATCTAATGCTCTTAATTAAGATCACGAGCTGTGAGTGGGGGAAAAAAGCGCCCTCGATGAACATTTTTTTTCCCTGTTTCTTTAGAATTTACAGATTGAGGACTGGAAGAGCTTCTGAATTCACAGTTCTGGAAGAGCAAACCTTCTGAGTTGGTAGTCTCTATTATTTGAGCGTCTCAGTTGAACAAACTCATAATTAGCTCAGCGACTTTGGCCCGAACCTGAGGGCTCAAAATGAGACTCGCTTTTGCCGTTTAAAAAACATTAAACAAGAATAGGAAAAAACACGTTTGGACACATAATGGATTTTTTTTTCAGAACTGCCATCTTCTTTCTGAGAGCAACCCAGCTGCTTAAAAGAATATATCATCCAAAAGGAGCTAGTTTAGCAGCCTTTACTTTGTCGTGGAGTGGGGGAAAAAAGCTTCCTTCCACAAAAGGGAATTATTTTGTCAGTGAGGTTGAGATCGGACCCTCTGAAAGTGTAGCCAAGGCCAAGGGGAAAGCGCCGGACCCGCTTGCCTCGTGGGGGTTGCTTCACATTAGAATGTAATTCAGCCCTGAACATCAGAGAGAAAAACCGAGGTATCTGCAGTGAGAATCATTTCATTTTGATCATTTAGAACTGCGGGTAGACGGCAGAGACGGTGACTTCAGGGAGTCCCGCCGCCCGCCTAGTTTTCTGCAGACACCGTTAGAGAAATGGGCAAGTAGCGGAAGAGAATGGCAACATGCCAGCAGTGAGGGCTCACCTCGTGGGCTGCTAAAGGAAGGGTTCCATTTGATTTATCATAGTTATTTACCTTTGATGTCAGCGAGTGGGAATGAAGTGCAGCTTGGTCTAATTAAAAAGGTCTAAAAAGGCATTTGAAATGGGTTTGCTGTCTGATCACGGGATGTGAGTTCCGTGTTTGGCAGCTTTCTAAAATATTGCTGGAACTATTTAAACAGAACAATTAGCAGCATGCTAAAATGTTTGCATGCTATGCTTAGAAGCTCTTAGCTGTAAACTTTAAGGCGATCTGTTCCCCTTTAAGTTAAAAAAGGATGATGCTGCTTCCTTGTGGCGAAGGCTGTCAGGAACCCGCTGATCAATAAAAGTAAACTGGCGCCTCCACGGCTTGATTGAGCGGGAGCAAAGAGTCTGAGAAGTAGTCTCGGCCATTAACAATCCCCCAGGTAATGAGAAATGGAAGAATTACTCAGGTAAAATGATTAACATTGCCGTGGTATCCGAAAAGATGCACACAACAAGCTATGAAGACTGCGGACCTTCTTACCTTAGGGAGTGCTAATAGGATGTCTATATGCTGCTGTCTTTTTAAAGATAAATAGGAGAATTCAATTCATGTAGAATGTCATTACCTCTGTAATTGCAATCACATTGGAAAGACATGTTCTGCCTTTGCAAAGACAAACCCCTTCACTAACACAATGGCACCATTTCCCCGGCTTCCTGCTCGCTGCTCACATTCCAGGCACCCCTCTTATTCCAAGCAGAGCACCAAAGTACTTTCAGTTACCAAACTGCTTTTACAGAAGACCAAATGCTGAGAGAGGCAGGGGGCGTACGGATCTGCTTCCCTTCTTTCCCAGCACCTCCTCCACCCTCAAGCTCACAGTGATAGTTACAACCCCCCCCACACACACACACAATAGTTCTTCCATCCCCCACTCTGTCTATAGATAATCCGAACACCCTTTGCTTTCTGACTCGTTTTTTTTTCCCTAATATATACTCGAGATTATTGCATTCCACCAAAGCTATTAACTAAACGAGGGGCCCCAAACCACCTTCATTATCAGGAATTTATTAGCTAGCTGAATAAAAGCATTTGCATGTAGATAATAAAAAAAAAAGAAAGTTCTGTTCATTTTAGCTTCCGTTTACTTCAATCCTGAAGGGAGCCCCGCCTCCTCGAGCCCTTTAGAGACACAAGAGGGCCATCTAGTGACTATCTCTGGTATTTTTTTCATCTAACTGCTGTCTAGAAACCACCGGAGGCTCTGGGTTTTGCACAATTGGCCTCAGCTTTCTAGGCCAAGTCAGTTCCTTAGGCTACTGAGGCCAGAATCAAAATTGGTGAAGA